TAGATTCTAGACACTGGAAAAATGATCTAGAAATAAGTAAAATTGTCTTTAATTGAGTGATTTAATTTGAGTAGGTAAATTATATAGTTTGCCAATTGAATTAGTATTTTTACTCTTAAAATAAGATAATTAGATAAAATGCACTTGAAATAAGAAAAGGCGACTGTTTTCTCTTATTTTAAATGTAAATTTAGCAAAACCTGCACTAAGGTTAAATGAAGGCTGTATGGACCACAGGCATAACTATCTGAAGGATTGGTGTGGACATGTCCCCACCAATAATTTCAAAACATATACTTTGGCAATATGTAGGTCAAATTTCTAAATTTTATTTTGCTGCTTTCGAAGGAGGACATTCACTTATGTAGCTGAAAGGGAAAATATCCATCAATCAATCTACATTTTACTGGATGGATTGATGGATGAATGAAACTGAAATTGTGTGCATACTAAGGAGGCATGATATATTGCTGTTGGCATCGGAATTGGCTGTTATTCATCCTTTGTTTTTTTTCCTTTATTTTTTACTTCCTTTTAATTTTCGTTGTCTTATGGTTCTTTTATGTTCTCAACAATGGGAAAGCATTCAATAAATAGATGATTCTACTCATTTTTGGAAAGCGTTCGGTTCGAGTAATTTTAGGTCCATCAGCCACCACCCTAAGAGTGTCCCCACCAACTTTCATCACTAAGTTACACACTTAGTATGGACAGATCATATGGATAGATCATATTCAGATCATATTCAGAAAGCAGGACACTAACACAGCAAAGAGGTTCATCTCAAAGTAAATGATAATCTAGTATGAGGAATATTACGTACATACCACTAGTTCTGAAAACAGTGCATAAGCTTTCCTTTTCTGATGGTGGTTGATCACTATAACACATCCCACCCAAACAGCAGACATCATTTAGACGTTGTTTTTTAGGCTTCATCTAGTCAGTCGTTATAGTTCAATTCAATTCTGTTTATTTCTATAGCGCCAATTCACAAAACGTCATCTCAAGGCACTTTACAGTTCA